CCCTGACGGCCAGCAGGACGGCTTCCCACCCAGAACCCTGTACGAGCCCCGGCATCGACCCGAGAGCGGACGCAGAAACCCGGTTCCCAACACTCTTCCCTCCTGGACGCCCTTTCTCAGAGAGCGACGGAAGGGTCTGCCGCAGCACAAGGGGCTACTTCGCACATCCCTTCCCGGGAAGGAAGAGCAGCTCCGAGCAGGACGCCCTGTGTGCCGCGGAGCGGGCGCCGCGGGTGCGGGGACAGCGCCCCCTGCTGAGAAGGCTGGAGCACTCCTCGATGGGGCTGGAGGCGGCGGGGCGGGGCAGCAGAGCACCCTGCCCTCACCTTCCACGGCCGTCCCATCCCGTGCTCCACCCCACAGGTGCCCCCAGCCTGGGCACTAGCTGCCTTTCTTCCAGAACATTCTTTCCTTGACCCCGGTGGCTGGGCCTTCCCCACAGTGACACCAGCCCCAGGGCCACTCCTCGCGGGATGCCCACTCCCACTCTCATCATCTTCGCTGTCTGCAAAGGCCTGGAACAGTCCTGCGCCTGGCCCCTTCCGCGGGGGGCGGGACCGGGAAATGCAGATGCCCCAGGTAGGAGACCGAGGGGCGGCCCCGGGGGCAGGAGGCTTTGCGAACCAAATACCCAGAGCGAACCCCGCAGAACGGACCGATCTGCAGGGCCACAGCTCCGCCGGGGCCGGCGCCGCCCGGACAAATGCACCGAGTCTCAGCAGACCCCTGGCGGCGGAGCGCGCGCCTTCGGGCCGGGCAGGAGCGGCTGCCGTTCACGTGGGTGCTTGCGCCGCTCAGTGTGGGAAGAGGAAACGGTTCCTTAACTGCCCTGCGACATGGGCCCGCCCAGACCCTGCCGTTCAGGGGCCCGGCGGCCCCTTGCTCCCTGCCACCCAGGCCACCCGGCTGGTGCGCCAGAGGGCTCGAGCTCCCAGCGTTGCAGCGCGCATGGGCTCCCCGACGGCCTCAGCCAGGCCCTGCCTCTCTTTTCAGAAAGGTTTTGACAAGTCCATACAAACAGTGGGGACCCTCCGGGGAGGGGGAGGGGGAGGGGCGGGGGATCACTGGCTGTTTTTATGACACTGGAAGGGCTTGATGTTTTCTTCTTTTCCAACTAGCACGCGCTGTCCTGGGGGATTCAATCCCTGTTAAGCGGCACGCACGGTGTGCCCGTGGACACGCTGCCACTGTGTGTTGCCGCGGGAACCAGGAGGCAGGAAGGGTCACGGCCTGAACGCCAGGATGGAAGCACCTGCACAGAGTGCCCGTCATGTTGGCTTTCCTGGGCGTTTCTGCGAAGTGGAGGCACCTTGCTGGGAGCCGGGTGCAGGGCTGAGCATGTCCTGGCCCCCGGGAGGTGCATCCACTGAGGCAGGAGCCCACGAGAGGACAGAGCTGCACGACGTTGTTCCCAATACCAACATGTAATTGTGCTCGCTCACGAGGAGCGCACGATCCCGCTCTAAAGTCAGGAGAATGGAACGGGGAGCCTCACTCAGACGGTCAGTGCCTGTCACACGCCAGCCATCCACCTGAGCGGCCCTGAAACAAGTCAGGGGCCCTCAGCAGAGAAAACCACGAACCAGCAACCAGCAAGGGTAAGGGCTGGATCACAAAAGCATACACGTGTCTGCATGTGTGTGTACACACGTGTGCAGTGTGGATGTGTGTGTGCATGCATCTACGGGCACATAAGGCACATTTGTGCACGCACGTGCATATAAGCCACATGCTTTTGAGTGCNCACAGATGAACCACGTTTGACACATGGTAGGTCTTCATCAAGCACTTACTAGATTGAGTCCAATGTCAGCATATGCTTGATGTGACTGCAGAAGTAGGGGCAGAATTGTAATTTTAGTTTTATTGAGAGAAAATGAAAGGATTGCAAAGTAGAATTAGAAATTGAATTTCGGCTTTTGGATCTAGGTGGTATTTTGAGACTTTGTAGGAGTGCTAGATTCCTGAAGCTGTTTAACCCGAATTAAAGTAAAGAATGGGTAAATGTTCAACATGAAAAGCCCTTTATACATTACAAATCAATTTTCTCTGTGTTTCTCTTTTGACCCTTATCACAATCCAGAAAGGGATAGGTAAGAATATATTGTACTAATAAGAGACTTTTCCCTCTTATCATTATCACAGATGAATGAATGTCAATTTGGAAATAGGTCTTCTGCCTTGTATTTTATCTTCTTCGGCAAATCTCAGCCTCTCTGAGCCTCAATTTTGTCTTATGTAAAGGAAGAGAGTTAGACTAGACTTCCTTTAGTCTAGTCTCTAAGGTCTCTCACTACTCTAACCTTCTCTATTTTTTCCCCTCAGTTCTGCTTCCACAACCTTGACGTTCTTCATGATTTCCTCACTGATATCAGGAAACACACTGATGAAGGAAACCCACAGAGGAGATTTGTTCAACTCAAGAAGCACTTGTTGAAAACTGATTTGTTCATCTCAAGAACAAATGTTGTCAGTTGGAAACCGACAAGCGTGTAGTGCTGGAGAAGGAGCCAGCGGTTCCCTCTTCCCCCCCCCCCCCCCCGCCACGGGGTTCTATGAAGGGGCTTTCAGGTGGCAGCAGTGGACGGTGCCTCGGAAGCCTGTTCCGGGTCTGCACAGACAGGGTGGGGAAGTCCCTCTGCCTGAAGGCCCTGCGGCCCTGACAGTACAGGACACGCACCTGCCCCAGGCTGACCCCTGACCCTGTGACCCCTGGCCCTTCATCCCCTTGCCTGCCCCCCAGGCTGATCCCCCATCTCCGCCTCCAGGTTGGCCCCTCTCCCCTCCACCTCCAGGCTGGCCCACAGCACCCCCATCTGCTCTTGCCCCCAGACTGACCTCCCAATCAACAGCTGACACCCTTGCTGTGCTTTTCCATGAATCCCAACCTCACCCCTTCTCGCCTGCCCCCAGGCTGGCTTTTGCCCCCATCTCCCTTCCCCCTCCCCTGGCTGTGGGGCTGAGCTCCAGCTTACTTTACTCCCGAATAAAAAAAACATAAAATAGCCACAGGGGCGCCTGGGGGGCTCAGACAGTTAAGCCTCCAATGTAGGCTCAGGTCATGATCTCACAGTTTGTGAGGTCAAGTCCCCCAGCTTGAACAGCTCAGCGCCTGGAGCCTGTTTCAGATTCTGTGTCTCCCTCTCTGTCTGTTCTTCCCCTGCTCACATTCTCTCTCTCTCTCTCTCTCTCAAAAATAAACATTAAAAAAAAATCTTAAAAATAAAATACCCACAGACCTACATCGAGGCAGACAGAAGTTTCAAAGTCGGCAGCCTGCCGGCAGGTGCTGGTGAAAGCAGGCTGGGGGTTCCCAAGGGCAAGCTTTGGTTTCCTGCCCGCAGAGCGGCCCCACCTCGCAGGGACTCAGGCGGCCCCGCAGGCTGCCTCTGTCGGGGGCGGCTCGCCACACACGCAGGAGACCCAGTGCGCGACGCACCCGACCACGCAATGCAGATGGCAGCCGCAGGCAGGGAGGAGGTCCTGGACACACACCCACACGGATACGCACACACAGGGACAGACACACAAGCACACGTACACTGGGACACCCCCGGACACTCAAGGACACACATCCAGCTGTTCCCAGCGGCCCCCTCTGGGGAGGGAGACGAGGGGCCAGGGAGCTCATGGTTCCGTTTGGCTTTTAAACAGCAGGTTATAATCTTCCACTGCTCCGTGCAGATAAAGCTCCCCCCGCCCGCACTCAGGTCCGCGCACACGCGCCGTCCGGCACCCCTGAGGCAGTCCACGCGCCGGCCCCCCGCCCCGTGCCAGTGGGCGTCCTTGCCGTCGTCTGTCCCGTTCACATCTGCGTACAGAGGAGGGGTGGCTTCGAAGCCTGCATATGCCGCGTGCTTTTCACAACTGCGAGGCAGCAACACGGGGGGCGGTGCGTGGGAGCTCTCTGGGCGGCCCGGCCGGCACCGCAGCACGGACGTGGCCGGCGCCGAGCAAGCCCTCCCCCTCAGCTCCGCAGGTTGTTTTTTTAAAATAGGGAGATCAACAAACAAAGTCAAGGACAAGTGACCTGAAGGGAAAAACACTTGTAACTGCACTGCCTGCTCAGCACAGCAGGCTAGCGGAGCAGCGCCCCAGCCTGACGCCTGCGTGGGGGGCCGCTGGGGGGTCAGCCGGTTAGGTGTCCGACTTCGGCTCAGGTCATGATCTCGCGGTGCGGGAGTTTGAGCCCTGCGTCCAGCTCTGTGCTGACAGCTCGGAGCCTGGAGCTGCTTTTATTCTGTCTCCGTCTCTCTCTGCCCCTCCCCTGCTCACGCTCTGCCTTCCTCACTCTCAAAAATGAATATACATTAAAAAGAATTTTTAAAAAACCACATATGTGTATGACCAGGCAATAAACACACAAAGTGCTAAGTACTCCTGTGTTCACTAAAACCGCCCCAGCAAAGCATAAGGCAGGTCCTTGCCATGGCGCCCCGCGGCGGCCCCGGGCCAGCCACCGAACCACGAAACAGGAGTAACGTAAGAGGGGGCTTTCCTTCCGTTTTTAAATTAAATTGGTTTTCAGGGGCGCCTGGGTGGCTTAGTCGGTTAAGCGTCCGACTTTCGCTTAGGTCATGATCTCGCGGTTTGTGGGTTCGAGCCCCGCGTCGGGCTCTGTGCTGACTGCCAGCTCAGAGCCTGGAGCCTGTTTCACAGTCTGTGTCTCCCTCTCTCTCTGACCCTCCCCTGTTCACGCTGTCTCTCTCCTAGAAATAAATAAAAATATTTAAAAAAAAAAAAAAATTAAATTGGTTTTTTTCTTTCCCGTCAAACTAGAAACACATGGCCGAAGTGAAGATTAATCGCAAACGGTCCACCACGAGGGACGTGTGGTGTAGACAACGCTCCTTTCACCCGGGATGCCACCGAACCCCCCCCCCTCCCCCCCGGAGCTTGCGGTGAGCCGGGACACCCTCAGCCGGGTCCCACGGAAGCTCCTCCAAGGTTTCAGCTTTGCCAGGCCGGGACAGACAGGTCCAGGAACAAAGCGACTTTACCTGAATCTTGTGCCTCCGGAACCGCCCGTCAATCCTTTTTAGGAGGGAGTCTTCAGAAATCTCGGCTCTGAAAATAGTGGGAAAGGAGAACATTGAAACACTTCAATTCCCCGTCCACGTACGCCCAGCACACCTCTGCGGAGGCACCGCGGACAAACTCCTGCAAGTTCTTTTAACCTCCAGGCAGCTGACTCTGGCCCAGGACGGGCGTGGCATTCCTGCCCTGGTGCAAACGGGAAGGGGGTAGGTGTGCAACTGCTCACCCATAAAGGAAGTGCAAGCTGGCCGGTCCCCAACCACTGACCTTCAGAATAAGCCAATCGAATACAAGCCACGGTCCTGGCTAACCATTAGCCAAAAGAGTATCAGCTACCGACTTCAGATCTGTATCTAGAACACCCCCTCCCCGAAACCCCGTGGTCAGCGTGGAGCCCTCACAATGGGGAGCCTGAGTCCAGGAACGTGACAAAGCGTCAAAGAGAATCAGAACGGCCGCCCCAGCAGTCATGGTGCACGATGCGCGAAGGCGTGGAGGAGACCCGTGCAGGACCCCTCTGCGACGCCACGGGTTTTAAAACTCAGAGTCAAACGCTCACATTTTTGTTTCTCTTGTGTTTGAAGAGCTGGTACCATTCGTGCCATTGTTCTGGGCACAGCTGAGAAGTCAGAGGCGCTCCCTGGCAGCGGCCGCTGCCCCGCCTCCCCCCGCCCCCCCGCAATGGGGCCAGCACGCCCGCTGCCCAGGGACGCGCCTGCACCTCGCTCCCACATGCCCACCCCCACAACACACGAGGTCCAGGGTCACCCGGGGCCCCTCGCTGCCCACACGTCTTGTGAACCCCGAGCAGGTGAGACCCCAGGGTGCTGGCTGAGATGCTTAGGACCCCTGAAGCCTCACCGTGGCGGCCTTGCAGAGGCGGATTCCGGGTCTTTAGATTCTGGGTCTGCTGCTGCCGCCGGCCCAGTTATATGCAGAAGTATCTTCACTTACGAGCGAGCAGGGAAGTGTCCGCAGACCAGGCCGTCCCCGCCCCACACTCAGACCCCGGGTCTGCTGTCAGAACGCCGGGGGGCGGGCAGGCGACGAGCGGACAGCTGACTGGCCATGGGCTTTACCCATGCACATGGGCGGGCAGGGCACAACAGCCACCTGCATGCGCCCCAAAATGCTCACGGGGAAAAAGAAAGCGATTCGCACATAAGCAGGACATTTAGATAAACAACGTGAATGCCAAGGATTTTACAACTGAAAAATTTCTGCTAGTCATTCAGTAAGCCTGTGTCTTTTCAGTAAACGCAAGCCCAGAGGTCCCGCTCTGCGGGTGGACAAGGCGCGTGTGGCGTTCACCCTGATGTCACGGTGTCGAGCAACCCCGGCTAGGGCACCGGCGTGAACTCCGCGTTCCTCCTGTGCTCGCACACGCTCGTGGACACGGCACCTGCACCTTCGCGCCAGGCATCCACTTCCACCCTCCGCCAAGGAGCTCCTACCCTGCGGTTCCTGCGTAAAAATAGACGCTTCCGGCCCCGTCAACGGCCAGGCCTGGGCCCCAGTTTTCTTCACCACGCCTGCTCTTTGTTTCTTGACATAAGAACCCACAGCTATAATTAGGCACCACCCTTCTGAAGAACCAAGAGGCCGTCCTCTCACAAGTGCACATCGTATTGTTTTAACCGTACTCCTTCGACCACCGTAACGGCTCGTAAGGCACGTAAAAGGAACTCAACGGGCCTTTCGCAGGATAAAGGAGTGAAATTAATCAGAAGACACAGAAATGTTTCCCTCTTACTCAGGAGAAACTTGGCCTTTTCGGCCCCCCAACACTGCCCCCAATGGTGCAGGTGAGTGTGGGAGCCCCAACGCCCAAGCCCTGCGGCCGCTGTCCAACGACCGTGCCGACCACAGCACGGGGCGCAGGCGAGGTGGGGTGTATGCGTCTGGCCTGTGTTCTGCAGATGTGACTTCACCTTCCGAAAGTCCCTTCTCCTTCCCCTTAACGTGGGTTTTCACATTAAAGCAAGATGCTACTCCCCCCTCTGAGAAGGGCGGCTGTGACACAGGCTGTGAGTGCAGTGACCAGGGGCCAGGGGCAGCGTCCACATGCTGGGCAGCCTCTCGGGGGGCCACTGGGCAACACGTGCCAAGAGCCCCCAAGCCAGCAGCTTCCCCCGGGCATTCAGGTGGATGCACCCCACTCACGTGAGATGCCCAAGTAAGAGGCCATTCGACAGGAGAGCTCTGGAAACAGTACACACATGTGTATAAATATGTGGTACAAATCGGGTCTCACCCACAGGATTCTGTGGGTAATTCTACGCGGTTGGTACAAAGAAAAAAGTGGCCAGGGATAGTGCTGCCGCTGGGAACAGAAACTAGTGCAATCGCTGTGGCAGACGGTATGCAGGTTCCTCAAAATATGAACAGAGCTACCCTGTGATTCAGTAATTCCGCCCCTGGGTATTTACTCAGAAAAACGAAAACACTAGTTTGAAAAGATACGTGCGCTCTTACGCTCACTGCAGCGTCACGGACAGTAGTGAGGACGGACAGGTGGCCCATGTCCACCGACTGATGGATGGAGAAGGAAGGTGTGTGTCTATATGACGGATTAGCACTCAGCTGTCAAAAAGAATGACAGCTCACCCTTGGTGACGTGTATGGAGCTAGAGAGTAGATGCTAAGCAAAGTCCGACAGAATAAGACAAAACCGTATCTCACTGCTAAGTGGGATCTAAAAAACAAATGAACAAGCAGAAAACCAGACTCTTAAACACAGAGGACACACTGGTGGGCCCCAGGGGCAGGGTGGGCCCCAGGGGCAGGGTGGGCGGAGGCATAGGCGATGGGCGTGAAGCGGTCCAAGCGTCCAGGGACAAGCAGGCCACACGCCGCGTGGTGAACAGACGGGGACACACAGCTGACGAGTCGCTACGCGTACGCTATTAAAACAGCTCCGTTTCTGAAGTTTACTAAGTGGATTCCATTAAAACACAAGGTGTTGAGAAGAGCAGACAGGCCCCACATTACTTCTGGGGGCGTGACATTTGTCGGACCTCTGCTCCTTCAGGGACTCTGACACAGAGGACAGCGACGCCGTGTCCGTGAGTGCAGGTGGACCCGGCTCAGGGACCGGGGCGGGGGAGGTGCTCCCCGCGGGTGGCCAGAGGGGAGCGCAGGGCCCGCGAGACTGGGCCTCGTCTGCTGGGGTTTCCCGTGAGGTGGCGTCCCGGGGGCATCGGAGCCCCCCAAGCACCCTTGGGTGGCTAGTCCATGTTCCATAATTAAATAGGATAATCCTTCAACAGATCTTTGCCAAGTTCCCACTTAAAATTCACCTTTCTTTAAGTTGGGTCCGAGCCCAACATGGGGCTCAAACTCACGACCCCGAGGTCAAGAGTTGCACGCTGTACTGACAGACAGCCGAGCGCCCCTTAAAACTCATTTTTAGAGATTGATTTCAACCACCTGCAAAACTCGACCCAGAAGCTCTTCTATCCAGAAGGCAGAGGCCGTCTGCAGGGGCCCAGATGCCCCAGAGGGGAAGCCGGGAGACGTCCCTTCCGAGCGGTGTCCCTAGCGGGGGCGGCAGGCAGGCTCAGAGCACACACCCATCGCCCTGACAGGCCTGCTTCCCTCGACGGGAAACGGCGCACACAATCCCCAGGACCTGTTTTCACTCCACACTCTGCTAAGCTTCTCCCTCAGCAGAGCTCTTTTCGAAAAGGCACACGTTCTCTGCTGTAAAACAGCCGACGTCTAGCACACGCTTTTTATATACTTCTTTCAAGCCAATTAGATGCCTAATTCAGTTGGTGATTATTCTCCCCAAATGGGAGGCAGCGGCGGGGGGTTCAGGCTTCCGGCCAGCCTACCCCTGTCCAGGCCCAGGAATGCCACGTGCCAGCTGTGGGGACTAGAACAGTTCACTGACCTTCCAGGCCCCCCGCGGCCCCCGCAGCCCCCCCGCGGCCCCCCCACGGCCCCCGCCGCCCCCGCGGCCCCTCCGCCGCCCCCACTGCCCCCGTGGCCCCTCCACATTTATGGCGCTGTAAGACAGGAGGTTGCTGACATTACCCATATCCAACCTCGTGGAGTATGCACAGGTCTGACCACACACACACACACACACACACACACACACACACGCACACGTCCGACCACACACCCTGGACCTCTGAAGGAGCCCTCGGTGTGGGCCAACAGACTCCGTGACAGAAGGCCACAGCCCTGCTGCACCACCCACAGGGGTGCCAGCCATGTGTCCCCCGCTGCCCCCAGCTCCTCAGAGCCATGGGGAGACGGGTTTCAGGCACCCCTGTCCAGGAGGAGAAACAGAGTCACAAAGGCAGTTAGGAGTCTCAGCCTCTGGCAGAGCTGGGACTGCCTCCCTCCCTCCCACGTCCCGCAATCCTCCGCAGGTCTGGTCGGCGGGTCCCCGGGTTCTGGAATTGTCCATCACTCCGGGGACGGGGTGGACAGCTCAGCAGGCAGGGATGCAGGCCACGCTCTGGGGAAGCGTTCGGCCTCCGCTCCTCCAGGAGCTCAGGGCAGAGGCGAGGGGTGTCCCAGCCCCATAGCGGGGGCCGTCTCTTTGCCATTTGCCAGGGAGTGAAGGTGTTACAGAGTCTGCCCTGAGCCGGCCAGGACCCGGGGCTGGCTCAGGACTGCACTCGGGGCCAGCTGGGCAGCTCAAGCCCCCACAGGGGTCCACACGGGGAGTGCGCCCCGTTTCGCCAGGGGACAGGGTGGCTCCTCCCCCTCGTGCGGGCCTCGGCCCGGCTGCCGGACCGCCAAGACGCCTCCCTCAGCCCCAGCGGGAGGGACGGCCCTGGAGCCCAGACAAGCCCGGGTCCAGGCGGGGTTTCTTTTCTAAGTCTAGAAAGCCACAAAACGCCACGGTCTCTGCCTTCATCTTTAGTGACTCCTTAAAAGTCCACGGCAGGGTCCCCGTGCCAGGCCAGCTGGACCGCAGGCCGCCGGCCGGCGCGAGTCCGCAGGGGCCGAGCCAGGACGAGGCCCTGTCCGTGCACCCGCCCCCTCAGGACGCACACTTCGCTCTCCGCTCGGGAAAGCCCGTCACAGAAGGCACACGCGCGGCAAACGCACCGGGGGCCCCGGGGCCGCCCTGCAGGCAGGACGCGAGGACCGTCCCCAGCCATCACGCGGGGCCGCCATGCCAACCTCCGGGCACTATCTTGGGCACATGCTCCACACACAAGCATTCTGCTGCGACCACCATCTTCTACAC